CAGTCTAGCCAAGTACAGGACCCCAAAATCAAATAAGCACCTTCAGGCTTTTAAAGGGCTTTATTTCCTCATTACACTTCCTGACTACCTATCACAGTTTCGGAGGCCCTGAAATGCCAGGATAGCACCAAACCCCCCCAAATGACCCCTTTTTGGAAAGTAGACACCCCAAGGAATTTGATAAGAAGTGTGGTAAGTATTTTGCAGATCTCATTTGTTGCCACAAGTTTCTGGAAAATGAAGAAAAAAAAAACAAAAAACATATTTTATCTATTCTTTTTTTACATTTCAAAACCTTGTGAGAAGAAATGAGATCTGCAAAATACTCACCATGCCTCTTTTTGAATTCCTTGGGGTGTCTACTTTCCAGAAAGGGGTCATTTGGGGGGGATGGTGCTATCCTGGCATGTCAGGGCCTTTGAAACTGTGATAGGTATTGAGGAAGTGAAATCAGGAAGTTATGCACCTTCAGGCTTTCAAAGTGGTCATTGGATTTCAGGCTCCTGTATGTGGCTAGGCTCCCAAAAAGTCCCACACATGTGGTATCCCCATACTCAGTAGAAGTAGCAGAATGTATTTTGGGGTGTAATTCCACATATACCCATGGCTTGTGCAAGAAATAAATAATTTAAATGACAACTTTGTGTAAAAAAAAAAAAAAAAAAAAGTTTGTCATATTCCAGAAACTTTTGGAAAAAAAATAAATCTTCCAAGGACTCAATATGCCTCTCAGCAGATAGCTTAGGGTGTGTACTTTCCGAAAAGGGGTCATTTGGAGGGGTTTGTACTATCCTGGTATTTTAACACAAGAAATGTGATGAACAGTCAGAAAGTATAAGCTGTGTAAATTCCATTATCTATACCATGGTTTGTAGACGCTATAACTTTCACACAAAGCAATAAATATACACTTACTGGGATTTTTTTAACCAAAAACATGTAGCAGAATACATTTTGGCCTAAATTTATGACAAAAGTTTAGTTTTTTTGGATATTTGTTATGACCAAATTAAGAAAATATTTTTTTTTTTTTTTAATTTTCTTCAAAAATTTTTTTGTTTATGGCGCCAAAATAAAAAGTGCACAGGTGATCAAATAACACCAAAAGAAAGCTCTATTTGTGTGAAATAAAGTACATAAAATTTAATTTATGTACCATATTGCATGACCGCGCAATTGTCCATTAAACTAGCACAGTGCTGTATAGCAAAAAAATGGAGTAAATTGCAGTATCTATACCATATAGTTTGTAGACGCTATAACTTTCACACAAAGCAATCAATATATACTTATTGGGATTTATTTTTACCAAAAACATGTAGCAGAATACATTTTGACCTAAATTTATAACTACCTTTGAGTTTACTATATATTTTTTATAGCTGAAAGTAAAAAATATTGTTTTTCTTCAAAATTTTCGGTCTTTTTTTGTTTATAGGGTGAAAAATAAAAAGCGTACAGGTGATAAAATACCACTGAAAGAAAGCTCTATTTGTGTGAAAAAAAAAGGACATACATTTTGTTTGGGTACAGCATTGTATGACCTTGCAATTATCAATTGAATTAGTGCAGCGCCGAGTAGAAAAAAGAGGTCTGGTCATTAAGGGGGGTAAATCCTCAGGATGGCAAGTGGTTAATGTTTTTTTTACTGAAAATTGTGCTTCATATATGTAATATATCATTTGACCTAGAAAATTGGAACTACAAGCATTTCAGGCCCCATCCATATTGGCCATTTAGCCCCAATGCACTAGGCTGTGTTCTGGGCATTCATTACTGAGTGCAAACTTTTTTAAATGTTAGTACCACTTGGTGCACCATTCAGTCCTGTACAGCTGCAGCTGCTGTCCACCTCTCATAGACTTTTGCAGGCTAACACCAGCAGGGCCGGATGTGCCTTCTGCCTGCACCTAAAAGCAGGGCCTCATACATTTGGGCTAAATGCCAAATGGGCATGGGGCATTATTCCTCAGGGTTTCTGCTTTCAGAAAATATACAATATTTGGAGGGTTCTTCAGGCCTAAAATTATTTATTTTAAAATGTGCAAAAACGCAAAACTGGCTCTGGAAGTGAAAGGGTTGAAGTGTGTCTCAGTACATTTCTGCAATACATGCACATTTCACCATATTTTAACCCCTTAAAGACCCTGCAATTACATAAAAATACCCATTTATCTGCCAGAAATCCATTCCAGTCTTCTTGTGGGCTAACGACGTACATGATTTTTGTAGAATATCAGCCCTACCTGGTTGTCTTTTGCTAAACCTCTCAAACCCTCACACTCTCCTGTTCTCTGCAATACAGTGACTAATTGTTCTGTGGGCCAACAAAAGAATTGGAAGAGCTAAGTACACTCCTAAAACAAGAAGTGCGCACAGGATACAGAACAGCTCTGAATTGCTGACACGATCAACGAGTATTTTTTGGAAGTTATTGACTAGATATACTGTAACTAAATTTTATTCAATAGTATATTTTGCTGACAAAAGGAAGCAAACAAGAGAAGCTTATTGCTAGATTTTACCTACATGTTAAACTCCTTGCAATGTACTGTATATAGTTTGTTTACCAAAACTAGAGTTACATTTTAAACTCACAGCTGGGGTGTAGTTCTAAGAAAAGAAAATGAAGAGCTATTCATCCTATGAAACTGCTCCTACATTCTGAATTCTGAAAATACCACAATATGGCCACTAGATGGAGCCCATGATCATAGGAAGTGAATACTTATTTACTACAATCATATGCTAAATCTAGTCGCCATAATGCAATATTTTTCTAATTCATTCTATTTTGTATGAATGAAAAACATTTGACCTGTATAGAAACTAGCCTAATAATATTCATGTTTTCCCCTGGATGCACATAGAGAACGTACATGCAGTTTCAAGTACAAATAGCTCTGGCAGTTATTTTATTGAAAAAAAAACTTGGTCTATTATTTCTGCATAATCATCCATTTTGCTTCTTTTCACAGGTTTCTTCATTTGGTGTCTCAACATTCTCCCTTTGTGCTCTGGGTATTGATCGTTTCCAGACAATAACATCTCAATTTTCCTCACAGCCAGAGGAGCAGTGCCGGTCTATATTAGGAAAGATATCTGTTATCTGGATTGGCTCATTGGCCCTTGCTCTTCCAGAAATATTTCTGTGGCAACTCCACCAGGAACGTTCCCCAACATCAGGACTGATTATTGACTCCTGTGTTATGGACCCATCCTCTGAACTCTCTCCAGTTTTGTACTCCCTGGTTCTTACTTATAAGCATGCTCGTATGTGGTGGTTTCTGGGCTGTTACTTTTGCCTGCCACTTCTTTTCACAATGACTTCGTTACTAGTAACTCTGAGAATTGTTGGAAGCACAAAGAGCATAAAAAATGTTCAGAGCCAATGCCAGCTCAGTTGGATAGTGGCAGGTTTAGCTATTGTGTATAGCATATGCATTTTGCCAGAAAATGTTACAAACATCTTGTTTAGCTACACCAGTTTTGATGTCCCTCACAATCTTCTGATGCTTATCACTCAGTTTTTTCTTATTTTTAAAGTGTGCAGTTACACCTGTTTTACTGTTGTGCATTTCTAAACCATTAGGACAGGCCTTCCTGGATTGCTGCTGCTGTTGTTGTGATGGTGAGCCTAAACCAGGATCTGTACATAAGACTGAGGAGATTACAGGCAAACCAGAACAATTAACTATCTCTAACTGTACAAATGATCCAGAATTACAGCTTGGAACACCATGTTAATAGATGGCAGGAGTTATATGAATTAGTATCAGTGTTCACTCATTACTGACTTGAAATTGTCCAAAAGATATAAAAACACTACTCACTACCTTTCCAGTTGTGAATTTTTATATATATATATATATATATATATATATATATATATATTACAGTAGGAAAAAACCAAGGTAAAAGGAAAGTAAGGGAGAAGTAAAAACATTTACTATTGTATGGTGAATCTTTAGAGAAAATAAAGGACTGATCAGTCAATTTAGCAAGTTTGATTAGGTCAAACTCACAATTTTAAACATAGCAATAGATTACAAAAACAACTGACAAAATGGTTTATATATAGTGCACCTTGCATATGCAGCATAGTTAAAGGGTATAGCAACTTTGGTGTTAATAGGATGTGAAATGTATGCTAGTATGGTACTTATGTGTTGTTTGCTAATTAGCTAATGTGTATTGTGGTAAAGATGAATTAAGCATATACAAATCCAAAATATAAATATGTAACATCTATGTTGATGCTATTCTGCTGTATATTTACAAGATAGTTGAATACAGAAAGAAAACCACACTCAGCTCATGCCAAACGTGTTCATATTATACACTGGCATCCTGTGAATGCGTTCTTATTAAAAATAATGAAAATAGTCTGAATGATTGTAATGAAATGTCTGCTAATTGTTTGTATTGTTTATATCATTGGTCTCCAAACTTCGGCCCTGGGCTGGATGCGGCCTTTTTCTTGCCTTTATCCAGCCCTTATGGCATTATTCCTCCCACTGACACCAACAATAGGGCATAATTCCTGCCACTTACACCAACAATGGGGCAATTTTCCTCCCACTGACACCAACTATTTCTTCCCCTAATACCAAAGATCGGGCATTGTTTTTTCTCCCACTGGGCACAGTCTGCCCAATTAAAGCTTGAAGGACAGTTTGGGGACCCCTGGTTTATATCAACTAGCAAAAAGTTGCACTAGTATATTACAAGCATTTCATATTTAAAAAATATTGACTAGTTTTAGGCACAAAAGCTTGTGGTTTAAAAGTGATAAAACTATATTTGTTTTAGTACTGCATTTAGAAACTCGGGCGCCGCCCGAGGGCCCGGGGTCAGTAGGGGGCCCCATGAGATGCCCCTGGTACCTTTTTCATAGGCTTTTTTGAGTTTGGGCAAGGACACAGGGGCCCCATGATCCCCTATTGCCCGGGGGCCCCATGAGTTGTCAGTCCGCCCCTGCAGCCGACAGTAGACTTTAGCCTGCTGTTGGCTGAAAACGGGCCACAGGAGTGCAGAATGAACTGCACTCTTGTGCTCCTTAGGAACACAGGAGTGCAGTTCATTGCTCCATAGTAGAAGTACAGACAAACAAGCTTTGGCTGTACTTCTTTAAACGTGGATAGTTAGTGAGATAAAGCAGGGAGATGGCTATGGGATGAGAGGGGCAAAGAGTCACAGTGGTGAGTGGTTGTAAAACTAATGTTCGATAGTGATTTAGAAAACTGAGGTCCACATTTAGCTCATTATCTTTTGTGTCAAATAGAATTATCATTCTTAGTTCAAAAGTTTTCCTTTGCTGAGTAGTTTTGAAGATCCAAAACACTCATATCTTCCATAGTGTGGTTTGGTTATAAGAAATTATGTTTCACGGGTGTGCAGAAATAATTTTTCTTATGCTCTAGAGAACAATAATAATTTAAAGTGTTACTAAAGTCTATTTTTTTATTAATAAAATAACAAACATTTTATACTTTATACTGGTATTGCACAGAGCGGCCCTGATCCTTCTCTTCTTGGATCCCCTGCTGGCAATCTTGGCTTCTCCTCTTTTTGTGTCTCCTCTTGCTATGGGGTCATACGGTGATTGCTCGCTCCAGAGCTGTGTGCCTATGGAGCTGTGCTCCATAGACACACACAGCGGGATGTAGCCCCACCCCCCACTTCCTCAGCACTTCATTTTATTGACAGCAGCAGGAGCCAATGGCAGCTGAATAAGTGATTGGTTATTAAGTACACCACAGCCCACTCGACAGCCATTACGGCTCTCACACCTGTTCACCCCTTATGAACCAGAGCAATTTTTACATTTCTGCTATGGACCTGTTTATTTAGTGATAACTTTGTCATTACCTAATATAACATTTGTTGTTACTTAACAGCCTAATACATATTTTTTTTTTTTAAGAACAAACAAAGCTTTCTTTTCATGATTGTCTTCCAACAATTATATTTTTTTCACAATCCTTAGACAATTAAATATAACAAAACTAAAAAAAAGCATGTTTTCTTTATTTGAGCAGTGTTTAATTTAAAAATAAATAGTGTTACTGCACATAAAAATTGTGCATTTTATTCTGTAATTTGTCCTGTTTAAAATGACACTAAAATTATGATTCTGGTACAAAGCATTGAAAATGTATTTAAAAGTGAAATAAATGTATTTTTCTCAATTTTGTGCTTTTTTCAATGTGAAACATGTAAATATATGTTAAAGGTGTAACACTAATAATGAGCAAAGCAAACAAAAACAACAAAACTGTTTAAATTATCAATAGGTTATAAAATGGAAATGAACAAAAAAAATATGCAGGAAAATAATTAAATGGAAAAGGAGAACAAATAAGGAGATAATTGGGGCGGATTAGAGTGAATTAAGAGCTAATAAGGGGTTAAACAGAAACATTTAATTTAAAAATAACAAAAAAAATTTTTACTTGGCAGGTTGCTTTTCTTTGAAGTTCATCCCTTTGATCTGTAGATAAATAAACAGAAAGATACAAAAATAAACAAGGTTACTTTTTATCATTATGATTTAGCTGCTGAGCATTGTTGTTGATAAACATTGTCAGGCTGCTTTTCTTTGACAGCTCCAATTGCAGGACTTGTTTACACTTCAGCTGTCAGCAGGAGAACCCCACTGACAGCTGAATGAGTCAGCAGTTGTTAAGAACCTCTTATCAATCATTAATTTTAAATTTACATTTCAGTTGTCAGCTGAGATCCCGCTGACAGCTGAAAGAACCAAGCCTAAAAGGTATCGGTTGCAGGTATCGGAGCATTGGCACGAGTACCGATACTCGTGCAAATGATTAGTATCACCACTGATACCGATATCGGTATCAGTACAACTTTTAGCTTTAGTATCACTTTAAGTAATAGTCAACATGCATTCACAAAAGACAAAAGTTGTCAAACAAACCCTGATCTCTTTTTATGAGGAAGTAAGCAAAATCCTAGACAAAAGCGTGTCTGTGGATTTTGCAAAAGTGTGACAGTTCCCCACACAAGGGTAATATGTACTTCCATCCCACCCGCAATGTACTGTGGACAGGCAGTAGGTGCAGGCACGGCGACATACCCATATGTTGCTTTGCTCTTCCGAGTTCAGAGCTTGCATGTGTGTGCCCCCCCTCTGACCCCCGCTGTCATGTACTGCAGGAGATGTATGTCAGCAGGTCTCGGCCAGTGATTTTGGCTGGGACTCTGCCGATCTCCTACAGCGAATGAAGATGTAGAGCTGTGCCTGTGTTTGGAAATACAGGCACAGGATCTAGCTGCTTCTTCCCTCCCTGGAACCATTTTGTTCCAGAGAGAGAAGAAAGACATCACATGTGAGTAAAAGCAGCACATTTGTACCCACACACATTCGAGAGACATTTTAACACCTTGATTGCCACATTTAACCCTTTGATTGCCCCCTGCCAGTGCCATTAGTGCAGTGTCAGTGTACAGTATTTTTCACTGATCACTGTATTAGTGCCATTAGTGACATCATATAGTGTCAGGGTCAGTTAGCGTTATTCCCAGCTAGGGTCAGCTAGATTAGATTGTCCGCACACTATCGCAGTCATGCTATTGGTCGTTGATCCTTGTCATTACTAGTATACAGTTGCAAGAAAAAGTATGTGAACCCCTTGGGATTACGTGGAGTTTTGCATGAATTGGGCATAAAATGTGCTCTGATTGTCATCTAAGTCACAACAAAAGAAGAACACAGTCTGCTGAACATAATACTACACAAACATTAGATGTTGCCATGGTTTAATTGCACATAACATGTAAAAAAATTCACAGTGCAGGGAGGAAAAAGTATGTGAGGCCCAAGCCTAATGACTTCTCCCAGAGCTAATTGGAGCCAGGAGTGAGCCAACCTTGACTCCAATCAGTGTGATGATATTGGATGTGTTGCTGAAAGCTGTCCTGCCCTTAAAAAACACACACCTGTTTTGGGTTTACTGGTTTCAAGAAGCACTGTCTGATGTGAGCCATGCCTCACAGAAAAGAGCTCTCAGAAGACCAACGATCAAGAATTGTTGACTTGCATGAAGCTGGAAAGGGTTACAAAAGTATCTCCAAAAGCCTTGATGTTCATGTGTCCACGGTAAGACAGACTGTCTACAAATGGAGAAAGTTTAGCACTGTTGCTACTCTCCCTAGGCGTGGTCGCCCTGTAAAAATGACTGCAAGAGCACAGCGCAGAATGCTGCATGAGGTAAAGAAGAATCCCAGAGTGTCAGCTAAAGACCTACAGAAATCTCTGGCACATGCTAACATTTTTGTTGACACATCTACAATAAGGAAAACATTAAACAAGAATGGAGTACATGGGAGGACACCACGGAGGAAGCCATTGCTGTCCAAAAAGAATATTGCAGCACGTTTGAAGTTTGCAAAAGAGCACCTGGATGTTCCACAGCACTACTGGCAAAATATACTGTGGACAGATGAAACCAAGATTGAGTTGTTTGGGAACTCAACACTATGTGTGGAGAAAAAAAGGCACAGCACACCAACATCAAAACCTCATCCCCACTGTAAAACATGGCAGAGGGAGCATCATGGTTTGGGGTTGCTTTGCTGCCTCAGGGCCTGGACGGATTGTTGTCATTGATGGGAAAATGAATTTCAGAGTTTATCAAGACATTTTGCAGGAAAACGTACGACCATCTGTCCACCAACTGAAGCTCCGCAGAGGATGGGTGATGCAACAGGACAATGACCCAAAGCATACAAGTAATTCAACAAAACAATGGCTGCAATAGCACAGAATACGCCTTCTGGAGTGGCCCAGTCAGAGTCCTAACCTCAACCCGATTGAAATGCTGTGGCATGACCTTAAGAGAGCGATTCACACCAGACATCCCAAGAATATTGCTACACTGAAACAGTTTTGTGAAGAGGAGTGGTCCAAAATGACTCCAGATCGTTGTGCAGGTCTGATCTGCAACTACAGGAAACGTTTGGTTGAGGTTATTGCTGCCAAAGGAGGGTCAACCAGTTATTAAGTTCAAAGGTTCACATACTTTTTCCTCCCTGCACTGTGAATGTTTACATGTTATGTGCAATTAAAACATGGCGACATCTAATGTTTGTGTAGTATTATGTTCAGCAGACTGTTCTTCTATTGTTGTGACTTAGATGACGTTCAGAGCACATTTTATGCCTAATTCATGCAAAACTCCACGTAATCCCAAGGGGTTCACATACTTTTTCTTGCAACTGTAGTGTTTGTATGGATCAATACAGTATATTGATCACGAACAAAACTATACCAGTGCCCCCTTAATATTAGTGTCCCCAAAAATTCAGTGTTAGCAGGATCATCCCCGTTTGCTGCCAGCACTAGCGTTTAGCCCCAACACTCCCCCCACCACTAACAATTAGTGTAGTGTCAGTATAAATTCTGATCACTGTCACCTGTAATAAATTGCACACAAAACCGCAGTGTGCACAGAATCAGACCTGATCTCTGTTAGCACTTGCTGGTAAATGTTTTTGCAGCGGTTCAAGCAGTCCCTGACAGCCAGGTGCTCTTTTTGCCGTGAGTCACACTAGGTACTCTAAAGTCTAAAATGTACAACCAAAAGTACACTAGTGAAGAGGCCTACAGGATTCTGTGCATGTCGGGTAAGAGCGAAGGGGAAGACTCCCTGACACAATCAGCCTCAGAATACGAACCTGTAGACAGCAGCGGCACGCTGACATTTAGCTTGGATGATGGAGAAAAGGTCCCTGTTAAGGTCAGGCGTACCCAACCCCATGAAGCTGAAGTGCTAGGATCGAATGACTTGTCTCAAATGCAGCAGAGTGCCAGTACTAGTGCCACACTACCTTTTGGTGAACTGGCAACCACCAGCAACCTAGTATATCCATGTCTTTTTTATACCAGCACTGCATTATCACTTGGTGATGTGGAGAGTGCAGTACAAGCTGGTGCGGTGGCGAGCACAAGTAGCCAGCAAGCATTTGCACACAGGCCCCTAGTGTCCTTCTGGATGTGTTGCAAATCCTGATTGGCAGCCCAGATTCTACAACACCCA